CCTCCAATCTCTCACTGATCTCCCAATAGCATCAGAGTTATCCCCCTCTCCCTCCGCTCGCCGCGCGCGGGCCCCGCAGCCGAGGTGATAAGTGGACAGACTCGACGCTCCCAGAGCGCATGCGGTACACCGGCCACGGTAACTTCTGAGCTTGGGTAGTGCTCTGTAGCGTGCACTCATTCAGCCCTGACGCCTCACTCCTCTTCCCTTGTCCTTCCCCTTAAATTCCTTGTCATCTGTGCTCCCCCTCCTTATTGACCAGCAGACCCCCCTCCTCATCACTCTTTTACTAGGCTGTCAAGGGAATAGGTGCCGCTCCCAATTAGGCCCGCCCTCGACCGCTCACCGGGATAGTCATGCCGTGCTCCCGGCGGGAGCGAGGGGTGCGAGGAAGCAAGGCTATGCTGCGGGCAGTGCACGAGATCTCTTGAGCGATCGGCCCCCTGCATATGGGTGCCCGCCTCTACTCCTGGTCAGAGAAACATCCAAGGATAGGGGTGATGATAAGGAGAAAGAGGGCGATGAGGAACATGCGAGGGGAGGTGAGAGAGGAGGAGGAGGAGGAGGAGGAGGAGGAGGAGGAGGAGGAGAACGGAGGTGAGAGATGAGGAGGAGGAGGAGGAGGAGGAGGAGGAGGAGGAGGAGGAGGAGGAGGAGGGGAGGAAGAGGAAGGGATGAAATAATGAAGGAAGACAAGCATACATCATGGAGATGGGTCTTGCCTGCTTCAGGGCCCCCCTTTACGCTCCCCCAACTTTCACTGCGCCTTGGTATGAATTCATTACGCTTTTGTATGAGTTCAACAACTCGTACCGTCTATTAGGGGGCGAGGTCAGGGGCAGGCGAGCCCAGCCTGTCAACCAGGAGGTGCACGGACACATGATAGTTGTTGACACTTCGCGCCCCCTCGCCAGCCCATCCACAAACGATCATAATGAGGCAAGGAGGCCAACAATGGCGAACTAATGCGTGGGCCATTGCGGGCGCCTGGGGGAAGACTTTCGGGCTATCCTGAAACCCGTTTGAGCCGCTCTTGGGGCCCCCTGTGGCCCTCTTGAGACATCTTGGGGGGCTTCCTGGGGCCTCCTGGAGGCACGTTGGAAGATGCAAGTAACAATATAAAATGCATTGTGCCATCGTGGAGGCCATCTTGGGCTGTCCAATGCCCTCTGTTGGGTCATCTTGTTTCCCCCCGAGCATTTTTAATCTCTCTGGAGGTATGTTGGACCGTAGTGGACGCTCTGACCGCTCGTGGAGAGGGGAGGGGGGGTTTCAGACCCAGGCGGTATGGGGGGGCGGCAAGCCTCCTCCCCAAAGGGAAATACAGGGGGTGGGAAACTTGTTATAACTCAATGAACCGCCTACGTCCAGAAGACTGTGGGATCATGTCTTGAAGTATACGTGTTGTCATCCCTACCCGCCCCGCGCGCGCGGGAGGTCCTCCCGCGATGCCCTGGCGGGCGACGGCGCGGGGCGCCCTCGACGGCACCTCCGCCCGCGAGCGCCGCTGCCAACCAGCCTCTCTCTTTGATGTTTGTGCGCTTCGTCCCTTGCTGCCGACTCGACCTCGCAACCCTCCCCCTCCCTTTGTCCATGCCCCTCCTATCACCTCCATCCCGTTCTTTCCCTGCCTTCCCGGTGCCCTTTCCTCTCTGGCTCCCTCCTCCCGCCCCTCCGCTTCCAATCCTTCCACTCCGCCCTCTCGGCCCTCAGGAGGCCTCCAGGAGGCCTGAACGGATCCTCCAGGAGGCCTGAACGGATCCTCCAGGAGGCCTGAACGGATCCCCCAGGAAGCGCGATTCCCGCGAGGCCTCCAGGAGGCCTGAACGGATCCTCAGGTCGATTCCAGGCGGCCTCCTGGAACCCGTCTGGGCCCATGGGGAAGCCAGGCGCCAAGGTCCAATGTGAAACAAAAAAAATCAAACGCGCGAAAGCTGCCCGAGAATTCACCGAGAACAGCCGAGAATTAACGAGAACAGCCGAGAATTCTCACACGCCCCTTGACGCCTTAACCTAGGCGCGCGATCGCAACCTCAAGCCACGCCGCAGTAGACCACCCCCTGGCTCGTTCGCCGTCTGCCCTGCTTTGGGGACTCTGGGCTCGGCCTCGCGAATTGTCGGCCGAGGAGGGGCCCCTCGAGGAGGGGCTGCCGAGGAGGGGCTCGGCCTCGCAAATTGTCGGCCGAGAATTCTCGGCTGTTCTCGCGAATTCTTGGCCAAGTCTCGCGAATTCTTGGCCATTCTCGCGAATTCTCGCGAAATCTTAGCCAAGTCTCGCGAATTCTTGGCCAGGTCTCGCGAATTCTTGGCCATTCTCGCGAATTCTCGCGAATTCTTGGCCAAGTCTCGCGAATTCTTGGCCAGAGGGCCCTGGGCCCGCAAGTCTCGCGAATTCTTGGCCAGTGGGCCCTGGGCCCGCGCTGCGCGCTCTCTCCCCTAGCCTGCTGCAGACATCACGGGGCCCGAGCTTAAGCTACTGCCAGCCTGCAAGCCCCCGTCACGGCTGCGCGCGGGCGTGGTGGAGGGGAGGGCTCAGGAGCTCGGGGCCCGAAGGCCGCCTCCTCGTCCTCCTCCTCCTCCTCCTCCTCCTCCGCCTCCTCCTCCTCCTCCTCCTCCTCCTCCTCATCCTCATCCTCATCCTCATCCTCATCCTCATCCTCGTCCTCATCCTCATCCTCTCCTCTCTCTTCCTCCTCCTCCTCCTCCTCCTCCTCCTCCACCTTCTCGTCCTCCTCCTCCTCCTCCTCCTCCTCCTCCTCCTCCTCCTCATTATTCGTGCTATAGCCTGGCACGCCTGATGGGCGCAGCGTCAGAACCTCCTCCTGATCATTGTCCTCGCCCTCGTCCTCCTCCTCCTCCTCCTCCTCCTCCTCCTCCTCTTCCTCCTCCTCCTCCTCCTTCTCCTCCTCATCGTCTCCTCCTCCTCCTCTCCCTATTCCTCCGTCCTGCTGCTGCGGCTGCTGCTGCTGCTGCAGCTGCTGCTGCTGCTGCTGCTGCTGCTGCTGCTCCTCCTCCTCCTCCTCCTCCTCCTCATCTTCCTCGACATCCTCTTCCACCTTCACCCCTTGATTCTTCTGCTTGCGCCCGAGGATCGAAGCACTCGCTGCAGGAGCGGCAAGCGCAGGCGGCAGGCGCATGGGGCGCCATGAGAAAGGAGAGCGCAACCGGGAAGATGGGGCACAGCGTGCGCCAGGAGGAGATGGAAGAGATCCGAGCGCTGGAGGCGCACCGCCAAATGTGGCACCGGGCGGTATGGAGGAAGCAGGTGGCCTGAGGCGCAAGGAGGGAGGGAAGAGGGGCGAGCAAGATGGAGGCGCAGTACCACATGAGGGCAATACGGCTAAGAAGGGGTCAGCAAAGCAGCAGAGGCACCATGAGAAGCAAGAGCGAAAGAAAGAGAAAAAGAAACGCAAGCTTGAGGAGAAGCGCGAGGATAAGCAGGCCTTGAAGGACATGAAAGCAGAAGAGAAAAAGGCCAGGAAGCGGGCCCGCGAAGACGAGCGGCAGAGGCAACAGGAGATTCGGGACTACGAATACCAACACCGTGTCGCCGCCCCACAGCGCGGTCGGCGCGAGAACAGGGATCGTGCCGACGCCGTCGCCAATGCCATGTCCATGGCGAACAAGCGCGCCCCACCACAAGACAAGGGGCTCTTGCCATCGCCGTCTCCGATGGCATCGCCGCGGTCCCAACCTGAAGCCTCGCCCGCAACTGAGGGGCTTAATGCGCCCAGCAATCACGGACGGGGCCAGGCGAGCTCAGAGGGGCCCGCGTCGGGCGTGCGCCCAACGCCGCCGAAAGAGGAAAAGTCCGCGGCCGCACGCAGTGGGAGCATGAAGGCGCCGAAGGAGGGGAGGGTGAAGCCACGGAAGGAGGACAGAGTCCGCCGCAGGGGGGGCGAGGAGGCAGACCGCGCCAGAGAGGGTGATGAGGCGCCGCTGAGGATGAGGGATGAGTCGAAGCCAATGAGGGAGCCCAAAGTCCAGCGGAGGGAAGATGAGAAGGCGGACCGCGACAAGAAGGATGAGGGTGCGGCGCGGAAGCATGAGGTGAAGGCCCGCCCAAAGGCCCGCCAGAAGGCGGAGGCACCGGGAGAGTCCCATGGCCGCGCCGGGGGCGATAAGGAGACGCTGCCGAAGCAGAAGAGGCAGGATGATGGGGCACCGCCGAAGGAGAAGAAGGAGTCGAGGCCCGTGAAGGAGCCCAAGGCCCGCCACAGAGATGATGAGGAGGCGCCGCCAAAGAGGAAGAGGAGGTCGAGGGCACCGAGTACGAATGAGAAGAGCGCCAGTGAGGGTGATGAGGCGCCGCCGGGGAAAGAGGATGAGCCGAGGGCACCGAAAGGAGAGGATGACAAGGACGGGGGCAATTCCGAGGAGCCTGAGGAGAGGGGGAACGGTGCCGCGAACCCACAGAAGGGGCGCAGCGGCCGACGCACGGAGGGCGAGGAGGTGGACCGCGCCAGAGAGGATGATGGGGCGCCGCTGAGGAGGAGGAGAGAGGAGTCGAGGGCAGCGGAGGTGGGGCCCAAAGTCCAGCGCAAAGAGGATGAGAAAGCGAACCGCGACAAGAAGGAGCAAGAATCGGAAAGTGAGGATGAGAAGAGCATGGAACCGAAGAGGCAGGATAAGGCAGCGCCAGAGATAGGGAAGAGGTCGAGGGCACCGAGTGCGTCTGAGGATGATGTGGTAGAGGAGGAAGGGTTTGCAGAGGAGGGGGAGGAAGAGCAACCAGTTTCCGACAGCGAGTCAGAGGGTGATCATACCGGCGAGGCTACCTTGGATGGCGAGGAGACCGTGGATGAAGATGGAGAGGAGACGCAGAAGCCCCATGGCGAAGAACGTGATGATGATGATACAGAGTCAGGGGACTCAGAGGCTGAGGAAAGGCAGAGGAAGATAGAGAAAAACAAACGGATGAAATAATTGAGACAACAACACAAGAAAGTCCTGGCGCAGAATGCCAAACCAAAAAAGAAGGCAAATTCAAAGACACACAGCAAAGAGTACCAGAGGTGGTACAGGCTGTACCTAAATCCAGACAAGATGTCCCCGGAGATGAAAAGTGCTGGTAAGAAGAACGAGCTCTTCCAGATGGTTATGGACAATGGGTGCGACGAACAGAAATACCTTATGGCCGTGAGGAAGTGCCTCACACATGAGAAGAGTACAATCGATACACTGAGCACCATGAAAGTGCGCGAGATGAGGACGGCTGGCTACAGCGAGGAGAGCATTCAGCGCATCGTCGCTTTGAATGAGAAGAACAATTGGTGGAGGGCGGATAAGCTATTACCAGACGTCAAAGAAGAACGCCGCTACGTAGCGGACGCTGGGAGCGAGATGCAGAACATTGTCAAGACAAGCCAGGCCATGGAGGTATCAGGAAAGGCACAGATCTCGCGCGAGCAGGCCGAGGACCTGACGACTGCTGGCCTCCTGAGCGGCGACGTGCCGGGGAGCCTCTTCGAGAACAGCCTGACGGACTACCTCGGCGCTGCGGCTTCGAGCGCTGGAGGCCCGCCTGAAGGGGAGACCGATGAAGAAAAGCAGCAGGAAAAGGAAGCAAAGGAGAAGGCAAGGGCTCAGAGGCTCGCAGCGCGCAGCCCACTTGAGAAAGCTCAGGACCTCATGGAGGAGGTCTCCCAGAAGAGCGCCGAGGCGGACCGCTATGCGCTGCGACGCGAAGGTGGCCTGTGGGATAAAATGTTGCCCCCCTGCAATTGCAAAATCATCTGCCCCATGATCGCACATCAGAGCTGAGGCTGCGATACCTAGATCATGAGGCAGAGAGGGGGGGGGGCTTCTGAGCTCGAGCGCGCAATGCACTGCGGCCCCGCCAGGCACCCCCCTGGCGAAGCCGACCAAGGATGCCCTGGAGAAGTTCGCGGTGGAGATGAAGCAGCAGTACAAGGAGCCGCCTGCGTGCTTTCCAGCTCACTTTTCCTCCTCCTCCTCCTTCTCCTGCTCCTCCTGACCCCCCCTCCTCCTCCTCCTCCCCTCCTCCCCCTCCCCCCTCCCTCCTCCTCCTCCTCCTCCTCCTCCTCCTCCTCCTCCTCCTCCTCCTCCTCTTCCTCCTCCCCCAAATCCTCACCCTCATACCCCCTCTTATCTCTCCACGTCAAACTCCACTGCCCCTTCCCCTCGCAATGCAGAGCAAGAGGAGGAGGAGGAGGAGGAGGAGGAGGAGGAGGAGGAGGAGGAGGAGGAGGAGGAAGAGGAGGAAGTGGAGGAGGAGGATGAGGAGGAGGACGGAGGACGGAGGAGGACGGGGGAACACAAAGGAGAAATGAGTCAGAAGTAGGATCAGATCTGGAATAGGGGAATGGGCGCGGGACCCTCCGGCCCCTCGCGAGGATATCAGAGAGCTCGTCGCAAAGAAGGTCAACAAAGCCACGGCCTATGAGAACAGCATGGACGCTGTCAAGAGCCTCCTGACCAAGTGGGACTCAACCATTCTCCCATGCGCCAAAATGTACCCAGCCGGGGAGGGCAAACGCAGGAGGAGGATGAAGAGGCGGAGGAGGAGGAGGAGGGGAGAAAGAGTCGCGCTCTGATCGGCTTCGCGTGGCCTGATGTTGCAGGGCCTTAGCGGCCATTCGGTGCAGTTGCAAAGCGTTGGCAATTAACATGAGTACACTGAGAGATCTCTGGGAGAGGGTGTCGCAGGTGCTGCTGCTGCTGGTGGTGCTGCTGCCGGTGGTGCTGCTGCTGGTGGTGCTGCTGCTGGTACCGCTGGTGCTGGTGGTGCTGCTGGTGGTGGTGCTACTGCTGGTGCTGCTGTGGGTGGAGGCGCTGCTGGTGGTGCTGCTGCTGCTGATGCTGCTGGTGCTGCTGGTACTGCTGCTGGTGCTGGTGGTGGTGGTGCTGCGGGTTCTGATGCTGCTGGTGCTGGTGGTGGTGGTGCTGCTGCTGCTGCTGATGGTGCTGCCTCTCGGCGGTGCTGCTGGTGGTGTTGCTGATGATGCTGCTGGTGGTGCTGCTGGTGCTGGTGCTGGTGCTGCTGTTGGTGCTGCTGCTGCTGGTGCTTCTGGTGCTGATGCTACTGCTGTTGCTGCTGGTGGCCCTGGGGTCATCTTGGGGGTAGGGAGAGGAACAGGAGGAGGAGGAGGAGGAGGAGGAGGAGGGGGAGGAGGAGGAGGAGGAGGAAGAGCAGGAGGAGGACAAATGGAGAAGGAAGAGAAGGGGGAGGATGAGGAGGAGGAGGAGGAACGCAACACGAGGAGGATGAGGAGGAGGGAGGAGGCAGGAAGGGAGGAACGACGGAACGGACGATGACAATGAGGATGAGAAGTCGGGGTTTCGAGATATGTTGTTGTGAGAGGTTCTTGTAAGACTCCTAGGGGCATCTTGGGGCCATCGTGGGGCTCTCTTGAGGTGCTCTTGGTGCCCTTTGGGGGCCCTGTTGCTGGGGCTCTTTAGGGGGGGTCTTGGGGCCGTCTTGGGGCTCTTTTTGGGGGTCTGGGGGTCCCCTTGGGGCCGTCTTGGGCCCCATGGCTAAAAAACAAATGTAGGTCCTTAAATCGGATCGCCCCCTCGGAAGCTCCAAAAGAGCGTTTTGGGGCCCTCTTGGGCCGCTCTTGGAGCGCTCTTGGGCGCTCTTGGGGCCATTTTGGGGCCCTATTGCCCCCCCCCCTGGGGCTCTCTTGGGCCATCTTGGGGCCATCTTGAGGCCTCGAGAGCCCATCGGAAGCGAAACATCGAAAAGGCAAAACAAACAAACATTGATTTCTTCAGGTTTTCGAACGAGTTTGGCTTCTTGGAGGAATCATTGGAGGGCTCGGAGGGCACTTGAAACCGTCTTGGGGCCATCTTGAGGCCTCTTGGATGCGTCGGAAGCTATCTTGAGCCGTCTTGAAGTATCTTGGGCCATCTTCGAGGCCATCTTACGCTCTCTGAAGCCCTCTTGGAGCCATCTTGAGCCTAAAAGGACCCTCTGACAGCTCGCGGCCCCCAGGTCCAGGGGAGGGGGAGCAGGGGAAGGAGGAGGTTTTGGCAGAGAGAAGGCAGGGACTCGCTAAACCACCTCAGCCCAGAGGGCTGGTGGGATTGGGGGTTCGGGACTGGCGCGCGAGGCACGGAAAGAAGGTAGGCACCGCCAAAAAGAAGGCGGATCCGAAGAAAAAGCCAGGCACCACTGCAGATGGTAAGTGACCATGAGTAGGCATCCCTGGCGCTTCTGTCTGCGCTCTCCCTCCGCACGCGTCTTATGCCCGATTACGAGCTCTTGTCTCCAACTATCCCGGTCCATCTCTTGACCCCTCCCCCCGTCGCCGCGGCCCCACGCGGCTCGGGAAACCGACTACGACGACGACGACGACGACGACGACGACGACGACGACGACGACGACGACGACGACGACGACGACGACGACGACGACGACGAGGACGAGGACGAGGGCGAGGACGAGGACGAGGACTGCGGCGGCGGTCCTCGCTCCTGCTTCATTCCTCCCAACCCCCCACTACGGAGTGCGCCAACTCGTGGCGTCGAGCCGGTGTGCAGATGCCTCTCCGGCTTCTTTTGCTGCTGCGCAAGTATGGAAGTGGAAAGGTAGGAGACGTCGGAGGGGTGGCCACGAGTGGAGGGGTGACTTCACGGTTGCGCGTGCCTTATGAGATGTCTTAGTTTGCTTCTGCGGACACAGCTCCGAAGGCCTGCCGGCAGGCTAGGGAGGGCAGCTAGTGCATAGGTGGGCGCACCTCGGGGTTGAGCAGAATTTGCGGTGGAACAGGTGGCGCGATAGTCGTCTCAGTGGAGGAGCGACGCAACTGAAAGCGCCGCGGATGCACTCTTTCACATCCTCATCGTGCCTGTCCTTTCTCTTCTCTTCTTACTCCTCCAAGAACGCACGCAAGTCTCCTAGAGCCTTCCTCAACCTCGTCCCCCGCCCTCTCCCCCCCTTTCCCCCCTCCTTTCCCCTCCCTGCCTCACCTGGCAAATTCGAGAGCTCCTCGACCAATCGGCCCCAACCTCCAGAGCGGCCACAGGGTGGGACCAACAGAGAACGAACCGCGGGCGGCGTCTGAGAAGGGATCCTCATCTGCGCATTCCATCTCCTTTGCGCCCTCCCTAACAAGTAGCGCCTCGAATAATCATTGCGCTGCTTCCTTGTCCCCCTTGTCCTCCTCCACCCCATCGCGTCTCTGCCCCGTCAACGCCCCTTCCATCTCTGCACCCCCTCACTGTCCTCCTCGTTCTCCTGCGCCCCTCTTCCTCGAGTTCCTCCCCCCTCCTCTTCCCGTCTCCCCGCCTCCTGCGCCCTTCTCATCTCCTCATCCTCCTTTGCCACTCCACTACCGCGGGCGGAGGTGCTCAGCCTTCCTCGCCCCGTGCTTCTGGGCGGAAGCGGAGGCGCCTGCGCGGGCGCAGCGGGGTCAGAAGGCAGAGCGCTTGAGCACGCGGGGGAGAGGCATGGGATATCATGATGGTCTTTCAGCGCGCGCGGTGTGGATAAGCACACTTCATTCGACAGTGTTGCTCAAGGAGGGGGTTGGGCAAGAAAGAGGCACACCATGTTGGGCATGGGGGGCGGCTGTTGGAGGAGGGCGACCCCCTCGAGAACTTCGTCCTGAACGAACTGGGGCATGGGATGTCCTTCAGCACTGCTGGGCGCTTTGCACGCGTTGTTGAGGCCATTACCGGCAAGGGGAGGGCAGGGCAATTCGCTCGACGACTTGCCAGCACAGGTGTTTGGGGATTACCTGGCCTCCCTCTCATCCTCCCCCTCCTCCTCCATCCTCCTCTTCATCATCATGACCATCCTCATCATTATCATCACCTGCATCCTCATCCTCTGCTATTTCTTCTTCCTCCTCCTCCTCCTCCTCCTCCTCCTCCCCTCCTCCTCCTCCTCCTCTCCTCTCTCTTCTTCCTCCTCCTCCTCCACCTCCACCTCCTCCTCCTCCTCCTCCTCCTCCTCCTCCTCCTCCTCATCGTCCTCGTACTCCTCTTCCTCCTCCAAATGGAAAGCATGGGGCTCGCTTGGGTGCCTACTGAACGCTTCGCGTATCCCCACCAGCCGATCCATACATGGTACCCGGCGGAGCGGAGCTCTCTGGTTTAGTGGCGCAAGTAAGCAGAACGTTGAGGAAATAACGAACAACGATTGAGGAAATCTTCTGGGCTCTCTGAGGGCCTTTGAGGGGCTATCGTGGAGGCCATGTTAGAGTTGCTCGAGCCGTCTTGGAGCCATCTTGGACGCTCTGGCCGCTCGCGGGAGGCCACTTCCAGACCCAGGGGGAACAAGATATAGGGGGGAGTTGGAAGAACTGGCGGCGAATTGTTCGGGCTTCACCCCGAGGTAGCAACGGCAAGTGGGTTCAGAACTGTGAGAGGGAGTTCCACACCAAAGTGGCTCCGGTGATCCAGTGTGACTTCGGGCTCCACCCGTATATCGTGAATATTGAGTTGAAGGGGCCCGATGATGTTGAGACACGGGAGCACGAAGTAGCCTGTCTTCCTCCCCACGAAGTATTCGCTGCCCTCTGGGGAGCTGGAGAGAAGCAGGACACCTTTTTCTTTCGCTGCCCTTACCATCTTTGCTCCCCTCAGCTAGGCTCTCTTGGGGGGATGGTGCAAAAAACATGCTTGGCAACGCATTCGATCCGAACGCGCCCGTCACGCGCCCATGGCATCCCTGTTGAACCATCGCTTCCCGGAGCTCTCGCACCAGACCACCCGCGGCACGCAGGGGCAAGAAGGAGGAGGAGGATGGTGAGAAGGGGTAGCAAAAGATTAGGGGTGCGGGGAGATCCAAACACATGCGAAGAATGCGACAGATTGCGATTTGTGGCGCACCAGGGGCCCGTGTAAAGCCGTGGCAAGACCCTGGGCACATGCATGGGTTAAGGGGATTCGGCGTCCAGGATAGGGGAGGTGGGACAGGAGCGAGGGAGGTGGGGGAGTGGGAG